CATCTAGAAAATGTATACAGTTTGGCTCCAATGGTAATTTGCAGGCCGTCCAATGCTTGAAAGCGGAACTTCAAATACTCGCATCCTTAACGAGTGTCGCTCTCGGGGAGTAATCTGGAAAGCCGAAAACGGGTGAGATATGAGAAATTTCAGTTCAGAACAGGATTGTGACCCCCACGTGAAAGAAAGTTGTGCTTGTGTTCAGAAGCGTGGGCATGCACCACGCTGATGGCTCACGGGTGGTGGAATTAAAATAGCTGTGCAATAGTCGTGTCCCGAAAGATAGCTTTCCAGTTAGCAGCAAATCCGTGAATGAATATCGGAGGCCACAGGCCTCCCGTCCGCGTACATATTACCCATCTTGTTAGAGCTCATGCACTGCCGTCAAGAAGATGGGGCGGCGATGGGGGCGGAGAGAGGGGGACAACAATAAATCGTACTAAGCTCTAGCCACGCAGCCGAACTTAACCTGAAATTAGGCCAACAACAGCAGAGTCGCCAACATTCATCGTCAACGCGATCAGCAGCTACCGTGATTCGGGCGGCCCTCATGCATGGTACGCGCGCCCGTTGGCAAATTATGGCGTGCCTGCCTTCATTCCTGTAGCCATGCACGCACAGCTGCGATGGGAATCGATTTAGAGAAGAGCAACAGTTCCAGTATCATCGCTGACCGCATGCGGCAAATGCGAGTCCATGCCCTGATGTCCTAGGCTTACTACGCCCTGTCAATGCCATGCTGTTCATGCACGCCATACGGTTAACAGTCGTAAGACAGCGAGGCATAACCGAAACGAGTTGTGGTAAAAAGCTTATTGCCTCTAAGCTCAAACAATGCATCAATAAGAAATGACGAAACTACGACAGACAGGCGGCGGTGGCCCACAGACCGTCATCCCAGCCCCCGGGCGAGTACGCCCCCCTAGCCCAAGTGTATGTCTACTGGCTGGTTGGTAAGAGTGGACAGTTTTCTGACCACTGCCATATCGCGGGTAGTGCAGGATGAAGGTAGTGTGCGCCATGATGCAAACATTATGATATATTTGATAGATGATTTTGGATCGAGTGCGTATTGTGAGTGTGATTGCACGCTATATGTGAATGCATCAACAAAAATTACAAAAAGACCAGACAACCAAACCGCTGACCTGACCATCGCATTTGAAACTATCCGACGTCACACCGTGATACTGGCCGCGAAACAGATGGGAGGCAACCCCAATGCACACCAACGCCGCAACTGTTTTTGACAACGCGACACGCTGGAAGACCGACACCCCTCCTTGCTGCGGATGGGCTTCTCCACGCCATTGCGAGACACTCGTCTGTCTAGCCCCCGCAGACGAGGTCTCTTCGCAGGCATTTTGGTCTACCCGGAGTGCGCAGACCAGAACCATGCTTAGTGTCCCCTCGATGGATTTTTGGCAACACCGTTATGGCCCGGAGCCGGATGTGGCAGCCAAACCCGCTACCACAAGCTATGTTCAGTGAGCGGCCGGACCCCACGCTCATGAAAGCGTCGGTGATTCCCGCGCAAACAAACCGACGTTGGTGATGTATATTATATATATATATATATATATATATATATATATATATCATTGATCCCGTCGTAAAATGCGTAAAACAACATATAGTAATGATCCAAGGCTTGGTTCAATCGTCCCATTCATGGGAAATAATTAAAGAAACTATGTTGCAGCAAGCATACTAAGCCATACACATTTCACATACAATGAAAAAACCGAGACTGCCAGTGACTAAAAACTTTTTAAAGCAACTTCTGCACCCCACCTGTTCGAATTTGGCAGGGAAACTGCTTACGAGGCCTATTTCCACCATCGCCAATGCTTCTCATTGTTCTTCGGGTAGCCGTGCCCGCAGTAAATATTCTCGAGGACCCATGAGCTCGAACTCTTGACCCGAACGCCCCAAAATCTGTCCTTCCCGAAGAATATCATGCTCCATATTGCAAATAGCATATGAAAATGCTGTTGCGCGTAAGTCCTTAAGCATCCCAAATATAGCCCGAGTTACCTTTGTTGCAGTAAACTTTCCGGAGGACTTCTTTTAGAGGACTAAACTTCTTTAACTCTCCCAATGGTATACATATAGGCCACCTGAGAACAAAAATGTTTTTGCATGTTTCATTAAAGAATGACGCCACGCACCGGTGGTGCCACAGAGAAGGAGCACTAAATGTTGACAAGACCATTCAATAGCGCGGATGCGGGTGTACCTACATAATTGCAGGCCGCGATATGTTAGTGGTGTTGGTGCAGGTGGTGGTGGCGTTGGTTGCAGAATAAAGTGGGGCTGGTACAGTCGACACGCGCTTGCGTAGACCAGCGATGAGGATGGTGGAATGAGATACCAAAATGGCGTTACACTGAGGTCACGCACCATGCAGGAGCTGTTATGGTCACACAATGGTAGGGGGGGGGGGGGAGGCAGACATTGGTGGTGTTGGCAGGATCAGACACTGGTGAAACTGGCAGGGCAATGGGGTCAGCTGCATGGAGCCGACACTCGCATGGAGCTGGAGGGGTCAGACACCATGGTGGGATGGGTAGACCCAGACATTGTGGTGGGGTGCATGGTGTCATGCACTGTAATGACATCCTACTGGTTAAGGCACTGATATGGATGGTGGAGCCAGGCAGTGTAGTGGCATATTTGTGGGGGTCGGACGATGCAGTGGTGTTGGCAGTGTTGGACAATGTCGCATGACTCGCGTGCTACAGCTGAACACCGTAATAAGTCCCATGACTTAATGTTGACACGGGGTTAATTCCGCGCTATCATTCAACGGCATGCTTCACCTTGGTGGGCGTACGTTCCAGCAAGTCAAAATCAATATTTCTCACTATAAGAACATTAATGGACAGGGACCGAATCAGATGATCATGTCAACATGATGTTTTTGTCATTGCCATGTCACCAAAGCATGCAATTTCCTGTCGGTATTCCAAACAACATCACGGAAACCGCGAGCGACGGAAGAATGCCGCCACACACGGCCGGGCATAACGTTAACCCCGCGCCCGGTGTCGGTCATAGCGGACAGGACAGCGCGGATGTGGGTCACCCCGCACGGCCAAGGCCAAAACAACATAACAGCCCCGAGCGGCGATCTCTTCATCGTATTACCAACGGGAAAACCTTACTACAACATGTGAGCTCACCAAACACCACAAAAAACTTTGGCATACTTAACGCACAATAATCAATCACGAGTTCAACAGACACGGCACACACACACACACACACACACACACACACACACACACACACACACACACACACACACACACACACACACACACACACACACACACACACACACACACACACACACACACACACACACACACACACACACACACACACACACACACACACACACACACACACACACACACACACACACACACACATACACACACACACACACGCACACACACACGCACCACACAAGCACAGGCACGCTCGACGAGTTCATCAAGTAACCTAGCAACACCGACCCGTGACCCCGAAGAACTTTTTCTTTTTTCTGCGCTATTCTTCCTTTGCTTTCTTTTAATTGGTTACCTTACACAATGCGTTCACATTCACCCAATCATTTACGCGGTCAATAGACAACATACCGATAGGAGAAGCGTTTGCGGTAAGATGTTACAAACAATGGCTGACACGTCGCATCGGACACCTACCAGTCGTACTACGCATTGGCGACTGCAAGCTGTTCAAATAACGCTATGTCACTGTTCTTGATACAGGAGTGAAAAATGTCAAGTGTCTTACACGTGTACTGAACATGTCTGAATCGTCAACCACACAAGGAGAGGTTTTTCACAATCTTTGTTTTATCAAGCTGACCTATTCACGTAATTCACATTTCTCTACACGCACCCACTGATTCCACTTTATTGACACAGAATCACGGTAAGCAATCTGATGATTACCGCGGCTGTGTCCGTTCTTACCTCTCACCGCAAAGATTGGGTCGTTGAGAGTTCGTCCGCTGCACCGAAGCCCGTCCCGAGTTAAATGTGGCTGTATCTAGTCGTATGCTCACGGACGATTGCGTGCAACGCCCATCTAAGTTATCATGGGCACTGGACATGCATGATCAGGAGGTTACGGTCTTTCGTAGTCAAATCAAATAATAGGGTATGCGAAAGTGTGATCTCACCTTCAATACAGCTCACAATAAGCTAGCCACCGCACATGCTTCACTTCCAGCACTGACCTATATTCACTCATGGAGCGGCGCCCAGCCTCCCAGTCAAGGTCAAGACGGCGGGCTCGTATGAGGTGCACCGTTTGCAGTTTACAGCACCGGTTGACAAAACCAACACTGTGAACATGGAGGCAAGCACCAGGACTCTCGTCCAATGCTGCATGCATGCTGTTAATGCTGCATGTGTGCTGACATCAACTAGACAAAAGATATCCTTAGCATTCAATGACACAACTGCAAAACTCACAAACGACGTGGGGCTGAATACGTGGAAATATGCTGAAAACACCATATCGAATAATATCTTAAGCTCCGAGCCGTGGTGTTCCATACATTCTCCATTCGAGTTCTTCGCGTAATTATAATAGTTTCTTTTCATTGCGCATTCGCTGGAACCACTTGTTAAAAAGAGCAAAACTGTACGTCTTTATTTCCCGACCTCCCGGGAATAAAGCTCTATCATAAATTGACCCTCTATTTGCCCCCGGTCTCGCTTGCGCGGAGCCGGCGTTGAGTTATATGCGTACCGTCGCCAACCAAGGCGAGGTTCCTCCGGCTTCCAATATGGCATTGGAAAATATAGTAATGTAACTTTAGATCAACTTGATATGATGGCTATTGGTGTGCTGTAATGGCAGAAAAGCGCACGACGTTGCCAACTATGCAAGACTCGTGAAGGACGACAGAGACGCATTCGCCATTCAGACATTGCTTGCATCCTTCGGAAGACTACCTAAATGACCTGATTTATATCGAAATGCATCTCTTCAAGATCACTGTCATATCACCCGACGGAGTGAGCCGACCACGCCCGGTGACCTGACGTGGCGCGCCGCTGTGCATGATCTGCCCGTGCTTAAACTAGATATGGAACCGATCTAAAGGAGATCGCTCACATGCTTTCTGAGCTGAACGGCAAAAATAGGTCTATAACTGCATAACTCTTTTAAGAATGTAGATGGTACCACGTTTTTCAGACAATGAGATGAAAGGCCAACCTCGGGCCCATGAGGTGAAGTAAGCACGAGTGCGCCCGGTTGACTTAAAATAAATTGACCCGTGTTCCAAACCAATACAAATATTTGGTTCTCCGATGCACGTCCCCCAAACCTTACGTTCCACAGAACTGCTTTCGCTAGAAGAAATAGAAGAATAGTTTCGTGATATCATTGCATATTTTCATTTAGTCCTAGTGCCTTATCGGTAAGCCGCACTGCTCTAAAGCTTTAACAAGTGTGTTTTCGCAGTAGAGGTATCCTATACACGTGTTGTCGTCTAATTTGAAGGCTGTGCCGTGTCACGCTCCGACCGTTTTGTCATGGTATGACCCTCCAAGAACAGGTACAGCCGCGCTGCAACGCTCACGCGTCGCATATGCTCCAGCGGAACGCAAGTAACTACAACAGCAGCGAAACAACTTTAACGTTTACATCCTTTCCTGTTAACATCAGACCAAATTCATGTCAATTCGCTACGTTAATGTTCAACGCAGGTGGGAAGTAGCGAACATGCAACCCGCTGTCCTGGCACCGGTCCAAATTCAATTCAGGGGGCGCGCCCAGCCTCTCTGTCAAGGTCAAGACCGTGAGCGCGTATAAAACCAGGCCGTTCACCGTTCACAGCATTAGTCGGCAAGACCAACGCTACAAATATGAAGGCAAGTACCAGCACGCTCGTGCAAAGCTGCAGACTCCAACCCCAATGATCAGCTTTCTTTTGGTTAGTGTTACGGTACCACTTCATGCCTCAAAACCCGCTAGAAGAGAACCACTGATGTAACAAGATGGGATTATAGGAAATGACAGCATTTTGACTTCCGCAGGTGTTCATCGCTGCCGCTCTGCTGGCCGTGGCCGCCGCCGCTCCTGCCAACAGCTACGCCCCGCAGCCGGCGTACTCTCATGGCCCGAGCTACCACCAGTCGTCCTACAAGGAGCCAGCCAACTACGACACGCCCTACCAGTTTGACTATGCCGTCAACGACCACTACTCCGGTGCCGTCTTCTCTCAGAACGAGAACAGTGACACCAAGAACGTCAACGGCTACTACTCGGTCAACCTGCCCGATGGCCGTACCCAGCACGTCAAGTACATCGCTGACCAGCACGGTTACGGAGGCTACAACGCCGAGGTGACCTACACTGGAGAGCCCCGCTATGAGGAGCACAAGCCTAGCTACCACCCGGCCCCAGCCTACAAGCCCGCTCGCTCTTATGCTCCGGCCCCGGCCTACAAACCCGCTCGCTCGTATGCCCCTGCCCCGGCGTACAAACCTGCTCGCTCGTATGCTCCTGCGCCGGCCTACAAGCCGAAATACTGAGTACCTAGTGCTCTGGTGTGAACAAATATTTATATTGTCTGTTCGTGTGAAATTTGGCATTCATGTCGTGATGACCGCCAATAAATTACTGTACCATAAAAGGAGCGTAGTTTTTCTTCAAATAGAAGAGGAAACGACGACATGTCGACAGAAAACTTTTTCCTAGGCTTCCCCCATCTTTGGCTTAGACCTGGCTATCTAAAAAGTATGAAAACGCGAAACTGCACTGGATGCGTAAGCTTGTGTCTAGTTCTGAAACGGGATCATTGCTAAAAGGTCGATGAAGCACTCATCCATTCAGTAGAAGCGGTGAAAAGAGGAGCCATATTGCCGAGCAAATACATGACTTGTATTTTTTGCGCTTGGAATAATCAGAGATACCAAAGGTATCGGAAGAAGAATAAAGCTACCAAGGAGGAAGAGAAACGACTGTGGTATTTAAGTTTTGTAAAGTTTAGCTCGCAGCTTTAGCAAAACAGCCCACCCATCCGTTTTGAGCCTGTGATATCGCTGGTGACATTAAAGATCCGTCATTTGCAGCTGTAGCAAGAATAGTTTTCTTGAGGCTTTAAGAACGCTTAACACCACTACAACAGCGTTGTAAATCTAGAGAACAAGATTTCAAAGCTGGAAAATCACTGATTTTGTCATGGTAAGTAGCTAGTGGGTTAGGTACAAAAAAGCACCTTAAATGATGCTCCCGAGTCATTGATTCCATTCCTTTGCTGTGTACGTGATGCTGCCGAGTCATTGATATCGTCCCTGTGGTATGCCTCATCAGCTTCGGCGCATGACTAAACCGCAAGAAATCGGGTAGCGCTATGTGCAGCGTTTATTTCTGGTTCTAATTACAGCATCACCATGGATTTACACGTTCTTCAACACAATATAAAATGTACGAATTCCGGAATTGGTGACAACCACATCACAGCACGGAGACGAACGCAAGTTGGTGGGGGAGCGCGGTAAGGGGGCGGGTGGTCACTGATCGACTTCGGTCAAGGTTACAGGTTATTCACTCTATCGTACAAGAGGAAAAGCTTGTTTTTGTATCCATGTACCGTGTCAAACTTTGAATAACCCACTCGCCAGTTTAACTCACAACAAAGTGTTCTGACTGCTCTTAAAATACACACCAAATCTTAAAGAATTCGCTCTATGATTACCTGGCAGCAAATTTAACTAGACTAAAGAATAACTACAGCAGTGTAGATCTTTGGGGTAGTGTCATGTACTCAGCAATCTACGGTTATAGAAATGTGCGAGATGTGCTTCTTGTTCAGGTGAGGACTGTGAGATAATAAAGACGTTTGTGGCCTGCGGAGCTGCTGAAGAAGCACAAGATGCTCGTAAATAGGGGACCGTCATGTTTCAGTTGTTTAGATGGGAGCACTTTCGGCCGGTCATGACCATTTCAGGGCTATGGGATGTCGAAGAATGACGGTGCAGGATGGAACTATATGTACCTAGGGGGCCATCCTCTCAGGCATACCCTGCGTAGGGACTACTCTTCGGGTTTGTGCACGGCGTTCGGACGAGGCTCCCACCAGGGGGCACTTGGGCCCTTTCGTGAGTGGCGCATGCAACATGCCGCGGACAAACGGGGCTTAGCGAGTATGCAGGATAAACAAAGGGGATAAAAGGGCGGACGAAAGGCTATAAGGTGCAGCTCGCCTGTCCATAGCCCTTGTTTTGCTTTGTACTGTTTGCTTTTTGCTTTTTACTCGCCTGTCCATAGCCCTTGTTTTGCTTGTTTTGCTGAGTTTGTGTCAGCACGAACGATGGCGTGTGGAGGTGACACTTTGTCTTCCACAAACTTATAGCAATGCGACATTAACGGATTACGCCAACATTAGTGGCACGAATTGAGAACAAGCTTCTATAGTTGGTGGAGGTGGCGGCATGCAAGCGACAAGGCCAGGATGCTGAGTGATGAACTAATATGAAGTGACTGTGGCTGTTTGCTATGACGTATTCATTTAGTAATTTTCGAATGCAATAACTGACTGGCTGCTTACATCAGTCGGAATAAATTGACACAAACTGCGCACTTCAAAAGGTTAGGGTCTGTAAATACGAGTTGTAGTTTTTTTAGCACCCGTTTACTTGAACAGAAACTTGACTAAAACTTCCCTTGGGCATGCACACCGACAGGAACAATGATAACCTGAACTTTTTGGATCATCTCAGTGTGGGAGTAAATTTCAATACATTTGAGTTGCAATCCTGCCCAAATCACATCGACGAAGTTAAAATTGCGACTCGTCACTATGTTGTGCACCTCTGTTTTTAGGATCTACTGCCCGTAGAAGGTATAGGGCTTCGGGACAGATCACGCCGTTTTAGTTCTGTTCTGACTTCCATTTGATATTAGTTTTTACAAGGTAACTCGCACGTGGCACCCTCAGCCACGTCTCTCATGTTTGGGGCGTATAGCCGGTTGGCAGGTTTCGTTATATGTTGGCGACAGCTGGCATTGCTGAAATCAGCGCAATTTCCAGCGGTATTGAGCGGTTATAAGCAAAGGCACGTAAGTCAACTTCTGTCTTTTACCTTGCTAATGCATATAACTCCATCCAGCCATGTATGACAATGGCACTTCTCTCACGCAACGTCATTTGAACACCTGCCAAGGTTTCGTTCCGACCATCAGCTTAAACCTGTGTGGTATTGTTCGTAATAGCGCCTCCTGTGCCAGGATTTCGGTCCCGTTCTTATAATGTTGTGATTTGTGTTGCTTATGTCCATTATGCGTCCAGCATTCCACGTTAATTTGTCAATCATGTTGATTCCTTGCTGGTTTAGGCTTTTAATAGATACCATCCTTTTGTTGGCTCGCATGATTCTATGGTCTCAAATCATTTCATCTTGATGCTGTTTGCTTTATAAGTGAACTGATGTGTTCTTTAAGTTTGGCACTCATATCTCGATAAAATCTTAAAGCGCTTAATTTCGTCATTGCCCAGGCTGCTTTTGAACATGTCGGTTAACTAGCAAGTGTCATTCGTACCTGTATCAATTTACGCCTTATTGATTCCCGGTTCGAGTATAGACACTTAATCTACTTCATGTTTAATTATTGGAATCATGTCTGAACGTCTTATCCTTTCATCCCACCATTCTCCATATCCTGGGTCAGTATTCTTTTAGCAACTTTACGCGGCTAATCTCGCATTATGAATCGCATTACTTCATTCTGAACCTTCCTATTACATTTATTTTTACGGTCTGTATTCCTGAATCGGACCCGTTACTGTCCTTCTGAGCCCCCAACATCACCCGGCTCATGTCTAAGTTTAGGCTCAGCCAAAAATATTTGCTGAGCTTGTTCATGGCGCGCAGTACTGTCTCTGCCGATTGCTGCGGTTGCTTGATTGACTGGCAGAACAATGTTATCTCGTCAGAACACGATCATAAATTTTCCTCTACACTATTTACTCTGGTGCCAAAAATCCTCATGCTATTTTCTATATTGATCTCAAAAATTGATGTTGTCAAATCGAACAACATTCCACTCACATGAGATTCTTAGAACGTGCCGCGACCGCACTAAAACCAGTTTGATGCATACCAGCTGCTTACTATTGTCAATACGGGCATTACTGCTCAGAACTTTATCTACGGTATTGAATTGTCCTCAAAATTTTTCACTCCAAAAGAACAGATATAACATTGATCTTCCAGTGAATCGAGCGCAGACAGTTGTCGCACGCATTTATCAATCCTCCAGTCTAATCGTTTTCCTAATACTGAGCGGCATGTGCCGTTAACCTTATGTTTTCACCTATAAATTAACCTTCACCAATCCGGTTTTATCTGGAGACACAAATTTATGGCTGATAGCCCATGCGAGTAGCAATAACCTTTGCAACAATTATAGAACTTCAATCTCATAAACATCGAGACCTCTTGCTTTGTAATCCGGTCTGGTCTTCTTTCTTGGGAACCAGAGCTACCATGCCCCGACGCTGGGTTAAAGAAAACGTGAACAAAAGCGTCGTTGATGTACACGTCTACGATGCTTTTTAGATAATTCCAATAGTGCGCGATGATTCCGCTATAAATCACGTGATGCCCGCGGCGTAAATTTTGTTCATTTCACTCAACGCTAATTTGCAATTTTCGCCACCAATCAGACCGTCACATTGCTCATGTTCGTGTGAGGTGAGCTTTGCAGCTTGATCACTCCCAACAAATATAATCATTATCCCTTCATCTCTACCTCCTTTTGATGTGAATACCTCCATGTAATATTTCGTGGAATGTCCCTAGGGTAGCTTTATTCTCTCGTAATACTTCACCACCATGATTTGTTTTAGTAATCGTCCCTTTCACGTGCATTTACTAACCGCTGCTCAAAGAATAATTGGTCGCTATTTCACCTGGTCGCAAGTCGTGCTTTTATTTTATCCCCTTTCTGTCCGCTTGTTCCACACAGTATTGGTTGTTTGTTGTCGAGAGTGTCGATTATTTTTTCAGATGCCAGACCTACAAACTATACGTGTGTCAATAGGTTATTATGGAATATAAACAGCCCGGAGTTCCGTCGGCGCGTAGCGGACGTGGCAGTGGCCACAACAGCGCTATGATCACTTATAACGCCTGCCTCAATGTTGGCCTGTACGTCAACGCTACAGCATAGTGCCTCGCTAACAAATACATCACCTGTACGCGTCTGCTGTGGTGGGCCTGATCGCCGCCATGTTTATTCCTACTTAGAGGGGTTTAACTGCCCCAATACATCTTCACAACAAAACTCGCTCATGATGCCGGAGAAGCATTCGCTTGCGGTCCAAACATACGTCCCCACTGTCTACGTAGCGCTTGGCCTGATGCGAATATGGCAGTTTCCGCACAGAATTGTGTTAATTGACCACAGTGCACAATAGCATCCTGCACCCCACACAAGAGTACAGTTATTTGCGGTTGAATATCAACCACTGGTGCATGCACACCTAAAACAGCAAAATCATATCAATCAATATTGAGTCGGTCACCAGCCAGTCAAAGGCCAAAACGACATATACGACGAACGAAATGACAAACGACAATAATCAATCACGAGTTTAACAGACAGGGCACACACACACACACACACACACACACACACACACACACACACACACACACACACACACACACACACACACACACACACACACACACACACACACACACACACACACACACACACACACACACACACACACACACACACACACACACACACACACACGCGCGCACACGCACACACACACACACGCACCACACCAGCACAAGCACGCTCGACGAGTTCATCAAGTAACCTAGCAACACCCACCCGCGACCCCGAACAACTTCTTCTTTTTTCTGCGCTTTTCTTCCTTTGCTCTCTTTTAATTGGTTACCTTACACAATGCGTTCACATTCAATCATCTACGCGGTCAATAGACAACATACTGATCGGGGCAGCGTTTGCAGTAAGATGCTACAAACAATGGCCGACACGTCGCTAATCGGACACGTCGCATCGACACCTACCTTTCGTACTACGCATTGGCGACTAAAAGCTGTTCAAATAACACTACGTCAGTCTTCTTGATACATGAGTGCAAAATGTCAAGTGTCTTACACGTGTACTGAACATGTCTGAATCGTCTAGCACAGAAAGAGAGTTTTTCGCAATCATTGTTTTACCAAGCTGACCTATTCAAGTGTTTCACATTCCCCAACAGGCACCCACTCCTCACACTTTATTGACACAGAATTACGATGAGCAATCTGATGATTACCGCGGCTGTGTTCGTTCTTACCTCTCACCGCGAAGATTGGGTCGTTGACGGCGCACCCGCTGCACCGCGGCCTGTCCCGAGATAAATGTGACTGTATCTAGTCGTATACCCACGGACGATTGCGTGCAACGCCCATCTATGATTATCATTGGCACTGGACATGAATGATCAGGAGGTTACGGCCTCTCGTAGTCAAATCAAATAATAGGGTGTGCGAAAGTGAGATCTCACCTTCAATACACTTAACAACAATCTAGCCACCGCACCTGGTTCAATTGCAGCACTGACCTATATTCACTCATGGAGCCGCGCCAAGCCTCCCAGTCAAGGTCAAGACGGCGGGCATGTATGAGGTAGACTGTCCGCAGTTTACAGCACCGGTTGACAAGACCAACATTACGAACATGAAGGCAAGCACCAGCACTCTCGTCCATTGCTGCATGCATGCTGCTAATGCTGCATGTGTGCCGACAATAACTAACAATAACTAAACAAAAAATGTCATTGGCGTTCAATGACACAACTGCACAGCTCACAAACGGCGTGGGGTTGAATACGGGGAAATATACTGAAAACACAATATTGAATTATATAATGAGCTCCGAGCCATGGTCTTCCATATACTCTCCATTCAAGTTCTTGGCCTAAGTACAATAGTTTCCGTTCATTGAGCATTGTCTGGAACCACTAGTTAAAAACAGCAAAACTGCACGTCATTCTTGTACCGACTTCACGGGAATCAAGCTCTACTAGGACTAACCCTCTCTTTGACCCCGGCCTCGTTTACGCGGAGCGGGCATTGAATTATATGCGTGCTGTTGGCAACCGAGGCGACTTTCCTTCGGCTCCCAATGCGGTATAAGAAAATATAGTAATGCAACCTTAGATCAACTTGATATAATGGCCGTCGGTGTGCTGTGATGGCGGAAAAGCGCACGACGTTGCCAACCATGCAAGACTCGTGAAGAAGGACAGATACGCATTCGCCATTGAGAAATTGCTTACATCCTCCGGAAGAATGCCTAAGTGACTGGATTTATATTTAAATGCATCTCTTCAAGATTACTGTCACATTGCCCGACGAAGTGAGCCGACCACGCCCGGTGACCTGACGTGCCGCGCCGCTGTGCGTGTTCTGCCAATGCTTAAACCGGATATGCAACCGATCTAGAAGAGATCGCTCACATGTTTTCTAAGGTGAACGGCAAAAAAGTGATCGATGACTGCATAACTGTTTAAAGAATATAGACTGCACCACGTTTTTCAGACAATGAAGTGAAAGGCCAACCTAGGGCACATGAGGTGAAGCAAGCACGAGTGTGCCTAGTTGACTTAGAATATTCTGACCCATGTTCCAAAACAATGCAAATACTTGGTACTGCGATGCACTTCCTCCAAACCTTACGCTCTACAAAACTGCTTGCGCTAGAATTAATAGACAAATAGTTTCGCAATATCATCGCATATTTTCATCTAGTCCTAGTGTCTTATCGGTAAGCCGCTCTGCTCTAAAACTTTCAAAATTGTGTTCTCGCAGTAGAGGTACCCTATACATATGCTGTCGTCTAATCTGAAGGCTGTGCCGCGTCACCCTCCGGCCGTTTTGTCGTGGTATGACCCTCTGAGAACAGGTACAACCACACTGCAACGCACACGTGTCGCATATGTTCCAGCTCAACGCCAGTAACTACAACAGCAGCTAAACAACTGTAACGTCAACATCCTTTCCTGTCAAAATCAAACCAAATTCATGTCAATTCGCTAAGTTGATATTCAACGCAAGTGGGAAGTAGCGAACATGCAATCCGCTGTCCTGGCACCGGTCCAAATTCAATTCACGGGGCCGCGCCCAGCCTCTCTGTCAAGGTCAAGACCGTGAGCGCGTATAAAACCAGGCCGTTCGCCGTTCACAGCATCAGTCGGCAAGACCAACGCTACAAACATGAAGGCAAGTACCAGCACGTTCGTGCAAAGCTGCATGCTCCAACCCCAATGATCAGCTTTCTTTTGGTTAGTGGTACGATACCACTTCATATCTCAAAACCCGCTAGAAGAGAACCACAGGTGTAACAAGATGGACTTGTAGGAAATGACAGCATTTTGACATCCGCAGGTGTTCATCGCTGCCGCTCTGCTGGCTGTTGCCTCCGCCGCTCCTGTCAACAGCTACGCCCCGAAGCCGGCGTACTCTCATGGCCCGAGCTACCACCAGTCGTCCTACAAGGAGCCAGCCAACTACGACACGCCCTACCAGTTTGACTATGCCGTCAACGACCACTACTCCGGTGCCGTCTTCTCTCAGAGCGAGAACAGCGACACCAAGAATGTCAACGGCTACTTCTCGGTCAACCTGCCCGATGGCCGTACCCAGCGCGTCAAGTACATCGCTGACCAGCACGGCTACGGAGGCTACAACGCCGAGGTGACCTACACTGGAGAGCCCCGCTACGAGGAGCACAAGCCTAGCTACCACCCGGCCCCAGCCTACAAGCCCGCTCGCTCTTATACCCGGGCCCCGGCGTACAAGCCTGCTCGCTCGTATGCCCCGGCCCCGGCGTACAAGCCTACTCGCTCGTATGCCGCTGCGCCGGTCTACAAGCCGAAGTACTGAATACCCGGTGTTCTGGTGTGAACAAATATTTATAATGTGAGTCTGTTCATATGAAATTTGGCACTGATGTCGTGATGACCAGCAATAAATTGCTGTACCAGTAAAGAGGCGTAGTTTTCCTACAAACAGAAGAGCATACTACGACCTGTCTACAGAGAAAAAAATTTCCTAGGCGTCCCCCATCTTTGGCTTTGACCTGGCTATCCAAAAAGTATGCACACACGAAACTCCATTGAATGCGTAAGCTTCTGTCTAGTTGTGAAAAACGATTATTGCTAGAAGGTCGATGAAGCACTCATCCATTCATTAGGGGCGGTTAAAAGAGGAGCCACATCGGCGATCAAGTGCATGACTTGTATTTCTTGCGCTTTGAATAATCAGAGATATCAAAGGTACCGGGAGAAGAATAAGTTACCAAGGGTGAAAAGAAACGACTCTGAAATTTAAGTTTGTAAAGTAAGCTTGCTGCCTCGGCAAAACAGCCCACTCATCCATTTTGAGCCTGTGGTATCACTGGTGACGTTAGAGATCCGTCATTTGCAGCTGTAGCAAGAATAGTTTTCTTTGAAGCTTTAAGAATGCTTAACACCACTGCAACAGTGGTGTAAATCTAGAGTGGACAAATCAGTGGACAATCACTGATTTTGTCATGGTAAGCAGCTAGTGGGTTACGTACAAAAAAAAACCACCTTAAATGATGCTCCCGAGACATTGATATCATTCCTTTTGTGTGTAAGTGATGCCGCCGAGTCATTGATATCATTCCTTTGGTATGCCTCATCAGCTTCGGCGCATGACCAATCCGCAAGAAATCGGTTAGCGCTATGTGCAGCGTTTATTTCTGGATCTAATTACAGCATCGCCATGGATTTACAGTTTCTTCAACAGAAGATCAAATGGAGGACTTCCGGAATTGGTGACAACCACCTCACAGCACGGAGACGAATGCAAGTGGGTGGGTGAGGGGACAGAGGGGCGGGTGGTCACTGATGGATTTCCGTCAACGTTACAAATTATTCACTCCATCGTACAAGAGGAAAAACTTGCTTTTGCATCCATGTTCCGTGTAGACTTTTCAAGAACCCACTCACCCATTTAACTCACAGCAAGGTGTTCTGTCTGCTCTTAAAATACACACCAAATCTTGAAGAATTCACTCTATGATTACCTGGCAACAAATTTAACTAGACTAAAGAACAACTACAGCAGTGTAGGTCTTTGGGGTAGTGTCATATACTCTGCAATCTACGGTTATAGAAATGTGCGTTATGTGCTTCTTGTTCAGGTGCCGAGTGTGAGATAATAAAGACGTTTGTGGCTAGCGGAGCTGCTGAAGAACCACAAGATGTCCGTAAATACGAGGCCGTGATGTTTCAGTTGTTTGGATAAGAGCACTTTCGGCCGGTCATGACCATTTCAGGGCAGTGGGATGACGGGGAATAGCGGTGTAGGACAGAACTATAAGTACCTGGGGACCACCCACTCAGACTTATCCCGCTTAGGGACACCTCGTCGGGTTTGTGCACGGCGTTCGGACGAGTCTCCTACCAGGGAGCACTTGGGTCCTTTCGTGGCTGGCGTATGCAGGCTGCCTCCGGCAAATGGAGCATCGCAATGATGCAGGATAAAGCAAGAAAGAGGAGAAAAGGGTGCTTGTGCGAATGCCAAGCGTAGCACGCTTATCCATAATACTTACCGTGGTTTTTACACGGTATGTTTGGTATAATTTGACATTTTTATTCGGCAACCACAATGCGTAATGCCTTGAGATGGAAACTATGAAAGCACTCAATACTTTTATTGCCGCATTAGTACTGCTTGCATGATGCTAAAAACGGTGGCCACGGCACCAGGCGCAATGCTATCGCCTTAATACAATAAGACGCTCTGTGCGACAGAGGGTGAAACAGATATTGACAGACGGGACGTTTTTATTATGTGCAATATTCCCGGCTGAGAAAATGAAGAGCAACTCTCTGGAAACCTACACAAGTGATTCTTGCCTATGCATTGAAACGTCTGTCTTTCATGAGGGTTTAGCAATTGAAACCGCTTATTGTCACATTTCAGCCAGTTCAGACCGCATATTGCTTGAGACTTAGTGACAATCGGCCAGTTGAGTAATGGTTATTGGGCCGATAAAAACGGTGCATTGCAAATAATTCACAATTGTAATGACATACCAAGAAAACGAAAAACGCGCCGATGTTTTGGCCGGGTGTCAATGTGTTAACCGGGTGATCTATACTGCACCTTGATATTAAGACGAACCGGACGGCATGCAAGCATAGAGAACCCACAGTGAACGAGATATCAACGACATGTCATTTTGCCCACCTCCCATCCCGCTTCCCGTTTCATTTTCGTTTCATAACATGACGTGTTGATAACGACCTGTTTCTGAGGACATGGAAGTTGTGTATTCCTACACTGCTTCCGTACACAATGGAAACGCATAGCACAATTTATATGGAGAAATAAAACACCCTCAATATTCCGAAAATTAGCCCACAATATTCCGTCATCACAAGTTAATGGATATCATATCACCCCGCTAATGGTATTTCACAATACTGGTTTCAATACCAACATATTTTAAACTATGTTTTGGTCACATCAAGATCTCTGTAGTACTGAGCTCCTACAGTTTAAATACACCATAGTGCAATAAACGTCACGGAATATTATTAAATGATGTTTGCCTTTTGGCATCCATTAAGTATTATAAGCATTCCGCAGGCACCACAACGAAAGTAATACACTTTATAGTAGTAATACACTGACGCACTGCGTGAATTTTACTTAATGCGCTTCGCGTCAACTGGCCCTAGCTACTCGCTGTGCCGATCACCAACGTTTTATTGTGCTGGCGTCATTCAGATCAGTACAAGTGTCACTTTTCAGACCGCTGGTCGGCAATGCGCATATTAAAACAGCTCAAAAGTGGTGTCTCTAATCCGTAACAGCTGACAACGGCCTTCCGCAAACTCTGCTGTCGTCATCACAACAGTGGTCGCGACGACTGCCGTTGTCACGGACACGGGATACATTCTGGAGCTCGCAAGGGAGAAATGCGGTGCTGTCAAGAGCAAGATATTGACGGTAATTTGAATTTCAAAATAATTGCAATGCATATAACTATCATATTCTTATGGTCGTGCGGTAGCACTACCCAGTGATATTATTTTACGTACGTGGTCTAGCGATTCCACCAGAAATCTTCGGACCATGTACGTTCTCAAATTTACCCCAAGGAAGGACACTTCATTCTAATATGGAGTTTTGAACAGAAATAGCCATCTTAAAGACACTTTGGTGCTCTTCACAGCCTTGCCCTTCTTATTACCTAAACACCTGTACTTTCCGAGCTAAAGAATGCCCCAGAATATGGGGAAAAATATGTCGGGAGGGTGTTTCAAAGTTACCATGTAATTCATGACGCCATAATAATGTGATTAGAATCCCGCCATTCAATAATCCACGCGGCAATCAAACCCAAGGAAAATATCATTGTCGAGGTGGAAAAGTCCGGCCGTCGTAAGCGCGATTTCTAGACGTAATAGGTACGATGATGTAACCATGACATAACTATTGAGGAGAATAGTTACTAAACAGACAGGTGTGCTGGTAGAAGCAGTCTTTTCCAATTAAGTTATATATAGTTATAAGTGAGCTGCATTCATCATATCTCATGTTTGCTTCAATACTTTCAGTTGTGAAACATTCCCTTTCACGATTTTTCCGTCTTCAACAAGAAACAAAGCAAACGTCAGTCCAGTTGCCTCTGCACCCTAATCTGACCCAGCACCTTCCACTGACTACGTGGCATTGCCATGCTCACTTTTTACTCGACGTCACTGTGCAGCATGGTAAGAGACAGTTAAGCTCATATGTATAGCTTGTGATTGGTTGTACCATATTTTTACATTCGTATGTAATGTGAAAACCAGGATTGACCATGGACACACGTTTCATTAGTCACTGTTGCAACACAACAACTCAGTTTCGATCAAATTCTCCGATACGTAAAAACCATTTTCGATCTACTCAACGTGTTTCAACTCATGATTTGATTCCTATTTGCGTGCATCAGAGTCATAATCACACTCAACCAGCTTTGATTGAAGAAACAATTGGGTTCCCTTATTGGTAAGTGATGTGTTTTGAATAAGGATTCCACCCTCAAAGCTTTGAGTCAGAATTAGTTAAAATCGGACGAAAGAAAATGGAGTGTCAGTCTGTGTCTCATTACTTTAAACATAGTTTTACATTGCGTAGCGTGACCAAAACTTACTTCGTCACACTCTGCCTGAAGTCTCAAGCAAACTTGACGTTTTTCAGACCTAAAAAAAAAATTGGTAGCAATTTTACGAAACGATTGAGGCCACGCGCTAAGTAATACGCATGAAAAAGCTAGTTATAGTTGGACTTCGGATATTTCAGGGAAAGTTTCACGGCTGAAGATGATAATGCAAGCATCAGATATGATGAAACCAGCTCACCTATTACTATTGGTACACTTTTTATGTGAGACTGCCCTAGACAGCTTAATTCTCTGCTCAGTAAATATACTCCTCAGTGCGTCATGGATATATTACGCCATCGTACGTTGCACAATATTGATAAAGAGCCAATTGACGGCCAATATATCTGGTAATTGCGCACACGAACGGCGGATATGAACGCCTCGACAATCAAATTGTTCTTGGTCATGATCACCGCATGGCTTACGAAATCACAAAACTTGAAAAACCTCACTATGACGCTACGGATGCCGAGGTGGTTTAAAAGTGCTATCTGCGATGTGCGTTCCCCATCTTCGTGGGCATGTAGTTCAGAGACCAGAGGGGCTTAATTTTTAAGAAGGGCAGGGTTGTGAACAGCACGGAAAGGTCTCAAAGATGGCTATTTCAAGTATAAAACCCCATATAAATGTGGAATGCTCCTCTTTACCCTCCAGCCATCGTCAGATACTTGGAAGTTTTCAGGACTGGATGATG